GAGATGCCTGCCGCGGCGGCTGCTGCCTCCCTGACCGGGGGGGGGCTCTGTGCCTTTGGTCTTCTTGCTCACGGGGGACTTGGAAGTGCTCGTGGACGCTGGGAACCCCATTCAATGATTAACGGCGTCAGTTGAAAACGAAGATGCTGCTTACTAGCCGTCGCGGAGCGGGGCCGCTTCTTGCTAGACTCTGCCTCGTCGATCTTGCTGCCACCGCTTTCGTCGACACTCATGGCATCATTTCCCGGCTGGGGGACTGATGCAGCGACTTCAGCAACGGCTCGCTCTAATAAAACCCCCACTGTCAGAAAGTTGCAATCGAGCGGAGGCATAGGATACTAGTTGGACGCTGGGAGGTGCAGTGCATGACATCACCCAGACAAGGTGCTCAGGATCTTTCTGAGCCCAGCGGGCGACCACCGGAGGCACGCCGTCAGCTGGGCGTGTCGCCAGCGGGTGACCGCCAGAGGCACGCCGTCAGCTGGGCGTGTCGCCAGCGGGTGACCGCCAGAGGCACGCCGTCAGCGGGGCGTGTTGCTAGCGGGTGACCGCCAGCCGCACACCTCCATAGCAGAAGCAAGACGTACCTGTGGTCGATGCCACGTTCAGACGCTGATCAAGAACGGCAGGAGCTGCGTGCGGCGACGGCAGTGCAGGCGGAGGAGAGGTAGGCTCGGGGGGAGGGGTATCATGTTGTTGTGGGCCCCTGAGGACCCCGGGCCAGTGCGTCTGGCTGTCGCTCAGCAGTTGGGTAGGTACCATGCCCTCCCCACTGACTCCATCGCCCGACGGCTCGATGATGATGCTGGCAACACCCGAGGAGGGGGGCGTCGGCTGGGCGGGGGACGCCGACAGGTGCACGTCCAAGGACGTGTGCTGCGTGGGCATGGCGCTGTCGACGTCCATGCCCGACTCGCTAGTGAGTGGGCTCATTGAGCGGCGTGCGTCCGCGTCGTGGTCGGCGACACCTGTGATTGGAGATGCTGCATCAGCGGGTGGATCCTCGTCACCGGGCGTCGACGTCTCGGGCGGGCCATCCATAGAATCCTCGTCCTCGTTGAACAGGTCGGAGTTGTCCACAGGCACAGCCCACTGCGGCATTACTTTCTTCGCAGCCCTAGACTTACCAGACGTTGGTGACCCGGCCGGTGTCTCGACCGGGGTATCCTGCTTGTCGACGAGCGGCACGACGGCGGTGTTCGGGGCGCGCATGCGTGCTGCCGGGCCCTCGATCGACCGGGAGGGACGTCGCGGGTGCTTGGTGGACTGGCCTGCATCCTCCTCGCTGGATGAAGAACCGGCCTGCTCGGCCTTCGACGTCTTCTGGCGGGTTGGACGAGAACTGGACGCCACCGGCTCGCCATCGCTGCCGCTGTCCTCGTCCGGACCGTCGTCCGCGCCGTCGTCCGAGCCGTCGTCCGCCCCGACTACCTCCAGCAGCTGGAGCGCGTACCGCTGAGGGCCTGCAAATCGAAGCGGATTCTTGCGTGCTTTCCGTCCGAACTCGGCAACCAGAAACTCCATGTACTTGTCGTACAGTCGCTTGTTGTCGGTCTCGAATTCCTCCAGCCTGGTGTACGCGTTCGCATCCAGCGCGATATCGCCCCATTCCGGCAGCTCGATGGGCAGAGGGTCCGCCTCACTCGGGATGAACGGGGCGTCGTCGCCGTAGATTTGGCGGAACTCGTTGCGCATGAAGTTGCTCACCAGGGTCTGAGTGGAAATATGTGAGTTCTAAGTGCACACCGCCCGCACCGCCCACCTACTTACCGAGATCAACCATGAGAGCGCCTGGGACACCGGTTTGGCGATGTAACGCGACTCGTGCAGCTCATCACGGGGGTGGCCGGCAGGGATGACATCCAAGGGAGCAATTTGCGCCGCCGGCATGGACCCGATCTGTCTGGAGAGGCTCGCAATCGTCTGCTCGAACTGGCGAATCCGCGTCTGCCGAGCAAGGATGCTGTCCTGGTCGCCGATGGGCGCTTCGATGTCGTCACCGGGCCATGAATGATAGCCCCAGTTAGGACCGAGCCATGCGACGTCCCAGTTCACCCATTCTTTTTTCAAACGCAGCTCCTTTCGCTCCTCTGCACTGACATACTTCCAGTGCTGCACGGAACGAAACATGCTCATGTACTGGAAGAGGATCTCGCGAAAGTGGCGGCCCACATCCAGCTCGATGAGCGGGAGGTGCCAGTTAGCGTAGAGCCGCGAGAAGACGAGGAGAACGAGCGGGAGCGCCTTGACGTTGCGCTTGGCAGTGCCCCTTTTGATGACCAGAAGATCGTCGTTGTGTCGCCGCAACATTTGAAGCTCCACCGGGATGGTATCCGACGTGAAATCGATAACGACGGCGGGCTTGCCACCACGGACGTTGCTCGAGCGCGTCGAGCGTCCCGCAGTGGTGTCGTCCTCCCCCTCGGGTTTCTTGTCCTCCTTCTTGGTCTTCTCCGCCTCCTCCTTCACCTGCGCGGCGTGGTGCCTCTGCTTGCCGGTAGGATATTTGGGCAGCTGGGGGATGTCTCGCACGGCGCGGATGTGGCACTCCAGCAATTCCCGGATCTTGTTGACGTGTTCGCGGTCCTTCGCATCGAAGGAGCCCAACATCGGCTCCGTCGCCTTCATGAGTGCGTCGATGTTGTCCTTGGCACCGCCGTATGTTGCCCATCCACTGAGCGACATAGAGAAGATCTTGTGCTGCCGCAGGGGCTTCGGAATGCTGCCTAGGTGGCCCTGCAAGTCTTCCAGGTTAGGCATGACGTACATGACAAAGTACGGGACCTAAACACGGGTACCGGGTGAGATATATCGAAGTACATGGGCTTGACGACTGGAGTACTTACGTCGTGAAACGCCTCGTGCATGCCGAGGCAGACCTTGTCGTCCCGGAACAGCTCCAGGACGCAGGACGACAGGTCATATGCGGCGGACTCCTCGTTTGCAACCCGGACGTCACACAGTGGATCCAGCGTCCGAGCGAACTGTGGGAAGATTAATGGTCAGATGTTTGCCCTTCAACATCGGTGTTGCCCTGGCGGGTGGCCGCTACAGCTACACCTAGTACAGCTACACCTAGTCGTTCAGCGTACCCCGTAGCGGTCGCCCGGGCTCGCCGGGGTGTTGCTGTGGCGGTCGCCCGCTAGCAGCACGCCGTCTCATGCGAAGTGTGAATGTGACGTACCCAGCCAAAGGCGTCCGAGCATTCAGAGAACTGGGCGAAGGCCTTCGCAATAAAGGTATGAGTCGGGAGGGGGAAGTCGTAGCAGGGGTTGTGCTCGGCCCATCGGCGAACCCAGCGCCACTTCTGCTCCGCGCACAGAAGGGTCAGGTACCTATTCTCGTCCTGATATTTGGGCACAGCGGCCCGCGAGGTCCCCCACACCCTCATCACCAAGTCCGTGACCTCCGCATAGTAGGCCTGCACGGCCTCGCGCCACTTATGGGTCACCTCCTTTACCCCCTTCTCGTTCCGCTCGGTCACCTGGCCGAAGTACCACCCATCAGGGAAATGAGTCCGATACCGGAAATCAATCTCCCTCATGAGGGCGTCCGGCCAGACGAGATTGCGGTCAGCACGCATACACGAATCCTCGAACAGCCCCCAGAAGTCGTCCAACGCCGTTGCGATGTTTTTGCGTTGACCGAAGCCGCGCTCCTCGGCAATGTGGTCGGCCACAGCTGGGCGCCCTTGTGCCGCTGCATGGCGCATCTCGTGCCAGGCGGTGTAGTCGCCCATGGTTTTCTCGTACGCCTCGCTGAGATCCTCCGGCACGTTCTCAGAGCCACTGTGTTCCCACGATTTGGGCCAGAAAGGATCGTACGAGGACACGAAGGTCATGTCGGTCAGCTTCGACATGAGAAGTTGGACCCACATCTGTGAATGCACCGTTAGCCGTCATTTCCCCCCAGCACGCTGCCTTCAGCAAAGATTCGTTTGGGCAACGCAACCCGGTGAGCTCGTGGCGGGCGACCGCCACAAGCACGCCGAGCTTCAGTGACGGGAGGTCTCACCTGGCAAGAAGCCATCCGAGGCTTTGCGCCCGCCAGAGCCTTGACATGGGCCTTCGTGATGGCATTCCCGTCGCGCAGGTAGTGGAACGCCAGGAGCTCCTGCGTCAGAGCCCATCCATATTCGTTCGCAAGCATCTTGAACACCTCGGGGTTGTTCTTCCGGTACGGCTTCTCGAACTCCACGTTCAGGACTTGGTCGTTCCAAGACCGCATGCCCGGCACCGGCTTGTCGCCCTCGATGGTACTGAGCCGATCGAGGATCTGCTCGGCACACCCGATCACGCCCTCCATGAACGTGCCTTGAAGGACCGGGCGGTTGTCATTCCGCGACATCAGCATCCCGTGCGCCTTCGTGAAGCCCTCTGTTCGTCAGACAATGCAATCGTCAGCAGTGCAACACCGGTTTAATAGGACGGGGGCGTGACTTACTGCGCCTGTAGAATCTCGCCATCCAGAACCCTGCGGTCGCCCTCCGCGCGACCAAGTCGTCCCGTTCCTTGATGAGCTTCTCCATGTTCGTGATCGTCCGGGGCTTCGCTTTGGGATCGGCGAGAACCTCGGGCTTGATCCGCTTGTCCAGAGCATGAATTTGCTTGTTGAGCATCTTCCGGAATTCATCCAGAGCCTCTTTCCGGTGATGGCCCCCGAGGATTTGAACTGTTTCCTGTGCAACAGCCTCCGTCCAAACCACGGCCTGGACCTCGTTGTAGTGGGTGTCCTTCGGCGAGAGGGATTCCGGCTTTAACCACTCAGGCTCCACCACAACGGCGATTGCGTTCTCCCAGAACGCGATGCCAGCGGCGTCAAAGCCCTTCATCAGGTCCTTGACGTGGGAGTCTTTGATTGCCCGGTTGTTGTACGCGCCCCAGTTCTTCTCGGGCTCCGGCTCGAGCAAGTGGATGTACGCGCTGCCGAGGTAGAGCTCTTCGAGCTCTTGCTCGGTCTTGACATCCCGCTTCAGCTGTGGCGCTTTCGGGTCGTTCATCGTGGGCCGCATTGCCGCAAGGACAATGCGCTCAGGCAGGGCCGCCTGGGCGCGGGCCGCCTCGTCCTCGGGGGTTACTTTCACCGCCTCGTGAGTTTCGTCCTCCTCCTCATCGTTGTGGTCAGCGGCGCCCTCCTGGATCTAAGCGCGATGCGCCGACAGTAAGTATGACAATGCCAGGTGAAACAGAATACGTATTTGCGACCTACCGCGCCGTCACCAGCTCCCACATCTTCCGTGTCGTCCTCATCGATGGCTTCGTCTACAGTCCCCAGTTTGGGAATTTGGTCCACTCCCAACTGGGCGCGTGCCTCTGCAAGTTCCACCGCGGATTTCGGTTGGGCCGCCATGACCCGGTTGCGGGAGTACTGTGGCGGGTTGTGCGTGCGCGTCGACGGTGTGTGGAGGTGAAGAACGAGTAGTCTGTTTGCGCGGCGAGTAAATTTTTCGGCGTATGGCGCGTTGTGGCACTGCCACACATCACCTGTCCTCATTTCCATCGGGGGCATTCGCGAATGCAACCGCCTTTTCGTTACAGGCTGCTACCGAGATTTTCCGTTCTTTGCCATCCAGGATATTACACGACGCCCGCATTGTTTGTGCATTTGTCCTTTTCGTAGGACGCCCGGGCCGGTAGCGGGCACCCGCTGCGGATAACCCGTCCCGCCAATGCGCAGAACGACGGCTCATCATACTTTGCAACTGCGGAGACACGGGCCGAGTCAGCGTATTTGTGGCGGTCACCCGCTGCGTGTACGCCGTCATGTTAGAACAGACGGGACACGGCACGGTAGGTGCTTAACAGGCGTCGCAGGTGGTCGCACCGTTGATGCCATAAAGGTATTATCGCAGATCGGGCGGTGGGCATAAGTCATGTGCTCTGCATCCTGATCATTCGCTGAGGTTACGACATGCCTTACGTGTCAACAGTCATGTCCCGCAGTTACGTTCTCATCAGTGCGACGGCCCGCAGCATCGGCGTACATGCAGCGGGCGCCCGCCACAGCCACGCCAATCTGGAGCTCATAACACACTATGCCAGGTTGGTCTCTACTGCTTTACATTGGCAGAATTCCAGGTGGTTTTCGGGTCGTTCATACCGTTTCTTGGTCTGTCGACAACACGGTCTTTCAACAACAGTCCTTGAGTCATCACCCATCCACAAGTGTGCTCGGAGGCTGTTCATCAGCGCCAAGGAGAACCCCGGTAATGGCAACTGCGCTGGTGGGATGTTTCCACCCCGTTCCGCCAGACCGAATGGTTTAAAACCCGTCATGTGAGCACAAAGCGGTTTACACTCCGACTGCAAATTCACATGATCTAGGAGATGCCGATGGTCGTGGTTTACTGGCGCTGGTTGTGCTATATAAGGAGCAGCCCAACGCCGGTCGACCTGGGCAGCAACTCGAATCATGTCTGCAGAGCCCCAGTCCCCCTCCATCAACGATCATGACGAGTGCAGCGAATCTGGCGATGGCCGCAGCGATGCCAGCGGCGAGTCCAATTCCAGAGCAATCCAGGTCGTGATGCCGGTCATCCCCAGCGATGACATAGAATGGGTGACCGCTTTTGGCAAAGCACAACCACGGGCCGCAGTTGTCAGTGAGTTGATTCCGGCTTCATGCTCATGCCGCCTTCTCACATTCGTTCAGCGGCTGGCCGCCGTGGCCGTAGCAATGGCTTGCACATCGCCGTGAATGACTGGTTAGTTCCTTCCCTTCAGCAGAGTTTGCACCCCCCGCTAACCGCGCCTTCGCAGGGTTGCAATGTCCCCCAATGGCACTCGCAGGGACGACGCCTTCAACGGTCACATCGAATTATATGCCAAGGTGGTCAACGCAGGATTTCATCCTGAGTTAGGCAACGTGAGTTTCTCCTCGACGATATAACGTCCGTCGTCCTGACAGGAGCTGTGTGGACAGCTCGTCAAATTGCGCTGGACATACAGTAGAGAAGAGCTCACGGAGATGCCTCTGGAAGACAACGCTATCAGCGTTTGGGATGTGATGGGCCAGAACGAGCATATGGCCTACATGGGTGACACGTTCGAGTTCGCCAATAGCGTAACCAAGGTCATTCAAGTGGAGGAGTTCTTGGCCGACACCGCCTCACTGCACGTCCTTTCTGAATCGGCGCACTACTCTCGCAAGAACGTCGCGCTGTGTCTGCCCCTCGGGAGCACTCGGTACTCCCTTATCGCCGTAAGCGACACATTGTTTCCACGTTCCCTGATCTTACCGTCTCCTGTGCAGGGCTCCCGGGATCTCGTTTGCAAGGCCAACGGCTGCCAGCACCTGGGTCTCTATCGCCCCGATACTGATATTCTCCGATGGTGTCAGTTCTGTTATTCGTGGTACCACGTCGGTTGTCTCAAGGCCGTTGCCGCGAAAGGCCCCACCCTCCCTAAAGCCGATCCCGAGCGCCCGGAGCAATGGTGCAGCCCGAGCGCTATTGAGAAGAACCTCTCCACCGGACGCATCGTGTACGACTACCACAACTTCACTCTCTGGCGGCAGCTCCTGAAGCTTCCTGTTCAACGTGGATATGTGGGGCACGGTTACCCGTTGTCGTTCGAGCTACTCACTCTGGAGATCCGCAAGACGGCGGCTGCCACCGGCTGCCCAGCTGACGTTCGCAACTTCGTCCTCGAGCACCTTTCACCTGCCCCGGGCCTCGCTCATCACTCCCACGAACTAGTTACCCCTCTTTACGCGTCCCTGACCATGCCATCCACATACTACCAATGCCCCACCTGCGAGCAGGAAGTTGTGATCTAACTGTAGTCTGTGCTTGCAGCATGCGATTGGATCTCTGTGGTTTTGAGGACTCATGTCGTACATTCTACGCTACAAGAACGCCTGGTATCTCAAAAGCACGTCTCAATGGAACATTCGCATATTCGTCATGTGCACAATGTCGTCTTCTGGCGGCCGCCCGCCACAGTACCGTTTACTACGGGCTCCTGATCGGCGTGCGTCTGGCGGCCGCCCGCCACAGTACCGCTTACTACAGGCCACTGATCGGCGTGCGTCTGGCGGCCACCCGCCACAGTACCGCCTACTCCAGCTCTCTGGGCATGCTTGGGGATCGACATGTGGGTCCACATCTATCGGCGACGCCTTACATAAGAACCTTTCATGGATGCTAGACATCGTTACCACGACGATCTGTACGGTCATACGTGCGACACGGAAACATTCGCCCACACATAGATTTAGTCGACAGGTTAATCATAACATCCACTCCTTGTGGTTGAATCACCATTCCCCGGCTATGTTGGGTTGTCCATCCTACACTCGTCCCCATCTGGTCAGTACAGTGACATTGAAGATGTGCATGTGCACTACTCACAGGCCCCCCCCCGTTACCCATATGGTCCACTCGCTGATCCGCTTTTTTCGTCCTCGCACCCTCCACGTCCACGAACCGTCAGCATCGCCGTCATTATGTCATTCATGTCGACCACTACTCACAAAGTTGCCTACGATTCAGCCGGCTGTCGCCCCGAGCTCCCGCATGTCGGCGATCGTCACTTCCATTATGGTGGACAGATACCAAGTCGCACACCTGCCTATCTCCGCGTTCTCCCGCCAATCGTTCGCCCGCCGCAGCAGCATGCGATACCCCTCTAGCAAGCTCAAAGCTCGGCCCTCGTTCATCGGCCCGATCTCTGCCTGCGCACGACGCTCGTGCAACTCCTCCCTTCGACGTCCCTGTCCCACAGGCGAGAACAGGCTGCCCTGGATCGCAAGCATCAAAATCATCTCAATTTCACGCCGGGCCAACACCGGTTGCGGCTATGCGAACGTCGTCAGCCTTTGCTATCACTTCCTGTACACCATTGTGCTGACCTGGCGATTCTCGGCTTCGGTTCGTCCACCCGTATCCATGCGCACTCCCGTCGTCCCCTCTACGATGTCGGCGACGATTTCGGACATTGAAGGCACCGGTCGGCCACCTCTGCCTCTGCGTTGACGTCGCCGGCTTTGTCCGCGTGGCATTTCAGTGGTTGGTTAAAGGTAACAAATCTTCTGGCGCCCGCCATCGCTAAGGGCGACGACGGCCACATTCCAACCGCAGTATTCTGCGCGTGGCCGTGGGTTCTGATGTCACACGGTCGTTCCATACTCCTGCAGCAGCGGCAAAGGGGGACACCGTTCGTATCTTTAGGTGCTGAACCATCCACTAGATCCTCAGTTCTTCTACGGGTCTCCCTCCCCATATCGGAGTCATGTAATTTGTACCTCCCCCAATTACATTAGTGCTCAGTTTCTTGGTATGCATTTCGCCCAAGCGGCGAATGTAGCAGGCGCCCGCTCCTGTCACAATGTTGTCCGATCATCTTCTGCCGAAAGCGAGGACCTCCCCGGGAGGGATTGGTTGTATAAGTCTCTAAGTGAATACCTCATTGGTGCGCTTAGGCTCACATCTTTAGTGTCACGGGTGGCGCGTGCCTGCCAGATAGCCGCCCAGGGCAAAGCCACAGGGCCCAGGCCTAGGTCTTCCGTGTTCAGCACTGAGTCGGAGGGCGGACTCCTGGCGGGCACCCGCCACGGTGACGCCAACTACGGCTGGAGTGATTAATGTCCATGCAGCCATCCCGGCAGCGCACGTACACCCAGCGAGTACCCGCCAACACGATGGTAATCATGGAATGGCGCCCCCTTTATGCACGTTAGTATAACCATGGACAATCAGCACTGTATGCGATCCGCGTAGTCGCGCTGGCAGCGAAAACGAACGAAAATGTGCTGTCGCTCAACGCGCGCATGACCGTGGCGGGGCGGCACCCGAGTTAGCATAAAAACCAGCAGTGACATTACGGAGGCCGACAATATTACGATATTTGAAGTAATTTAGGTGTAAAGGCTTATGCACAGGATCGGGATTCTCGCAAATAGGATCGCATTCCCATCTCCTCCTGAACGCTCTTCTCCACCACTCACACATTCCCAGAGCAACATCGTGAACACACAGACCGGATGAGCGCTGCCCAGACACTCGAAACTACCGTCGGTTCCAGCCCTTACAGCGTCATCATGAAACAATGGTTCGACGACAGAAAGGACGAGGAGCGTGTTGCGAAAACTCATTGCACATTCTGCGGCAAGCAAGGCACCAATCCTCTCAAGAGCTGTGCGCGGTGCAAGTGCGCGTCCCGATTTTTGCATCGCAATGATGTATCAGCTAACCGTGAGTATCTGTAGAGCGGCGCACTACTGCGACCAGGCCTGCCAGAGAATGGATTTCAAGGCTCGCCACAGGGATGAATGCGCAAATTTCAAGCACCTGCCTACAACAACGGCATTCATCACAAACCCCGGCTCTTCCGGACAGTTCCCCTTGCATCCTATCTTCGCGCATTCCCACAACGACGGGGTGGGCTGTTGGGTCACGATCGCAGGGCGTGCTGACTGCGAGTACGTCAATAGGACACGTACGAAGACGCGATTTAACGTTGTGCGTCCGCAGGTTGCAGTCTTTAATAGACACTCTTGATCCCACCGCCCTCAGGGAGCGATATATCCGCATAATGTCTGGGCCTAACGCTGCCGCCAACCGCCGGACTATACAGGCTCATAAGGCTTGTGCGCGCAGCCTGCTCAGTCTTCGCGTACTCGTGCAGAACCGCCGGAAGGACAAGATACCTATCCTGGTGTTCGCCTCGGGAGCGGCTGTTCAAGCCCTAGCAGCCTCGACCGCCGCGGTGGCGCAGGGAGCACCGCAGTGCAAATGCGACAGCGTCGAGTTGATAGCGAACCATGAGTGAGTGGCGAACGTCACAGTCCGCTCGAACGGTGCAATAACTAACCTTGTGCGCATGGTACAGCGCAGTTTTAGGGTATGTGGGCGTCGCTAATGACCCGTGGGACCAAGTTCCGCGGCTGGCTGTATCGCACCTTAACAACGTCGAAGTAACGCACGCAATCACTTCGTTGGTGACTCACTAACTTGATTTCGTCAGATCACGCCAGAGACGTCTCTACCGGACAACGTCAAGGATATCGCCCAGGGCACGATACTCCTCAAGCCGGGAGACCATGTTGTCCTCACCGTCCAATTCCGCATTGGGAACGGCGACACGATCTGCATGGACTGGGAGGCCCTCGCCGCCCTGGAGACGATGTTCATCCCTTGGGTGCCATGGGACGGCATTTCCTCTCCTGAGCTGCTTCGCACATTGTTGCCCAACCGGTCCCCCCACCCCACGAACAGCGACTCGCCCGCCCGTGTACTCTGTGCGCTGTTTGATCAACGTGCAGTTCAGCACCACTTCGCGGACTTTGTTGAACACGGAAAGGATGCATATGTGCGAAGCCACTTTGGCGAGATGGGTCGGCAACTTTTAGGCGGAGAAGAGTTCGTGGTCATTGTGGGTCAAAGGATGCTGAGGAGGATTGGGTTAGCGGGAAACATGCGTGCGTTCGTACTTCGGCTTAGGCAGTCCGGTCTGGAACACCTGGTGAACAAGTTTATGGTAAGGTCCGACGAATGAGGAGGAGCCAATCTGCTCGGAGTTTCTGTGTGGACTTAAACCCAACGTACATAGCCACTGATATGTGATCTAGTAGACTTCCATACTGCGCCTGATGATTGTTCACGACCGAATCCACGGTGTCGATGAATTCGGTCCACTGTTCAGCTGGCGGGTATCCGCCAGGTGTACAGCAGCGCCTGCTGCCAGCTACTAGCTTGAGTGCTATCGGCGTGTGCGTAGCGGATACCCGCCAGACGGACACCGATCGCAACCCTTACAGCTCACTGCGCACTGTCCCCAGGCGTTGGCCTAAACACAGTTGATATTCTGGCGGGAAGACAACGGCGACTTAGCCTAACCATGGTTCAGATTGCAGCAGCTGTACGTTTTGAGATTTGATTCACGGACATTCGTATATGATACACAGAATGAGATTGGGAGTAGATGTACTCCCACAGTACATGATGCATTGACCAGGGCGAGTGCGTAAATGGGAAGGGAGAACCAGACGGGCGACAGACCGGATATGTACGTGTACGTACTACGTAGGACAACGGGGTGCAGACCTTCGTACCAGCATCTATACGAGTGTCAGTCCCCGCTCCATCTGTGATCAACACGGAGCAGTATGCGTGCGCATGCGTCTACCGCGCTGTTGGTTCAGCGACAGACCAATCGCTGCTGAACGAGTGTCAGTGCACCGTCGTGTTCTTGGTTCCTTATGCACTTACGGGATTAGTCGTTGTCCTGCACCTGTGGGCCGCTCGCACTGGCAGGAAACCTGTCCACATTGCCATCACCATTATCGTCTGCCGTCCGGTCTTGGGAGTTCGCCGGGGTGCGTGTGAAGTACTCCAGGAGGAGAGCGAGATTCGCGCGTGAAACGTTCCTGGTGCGTGACTCGACGCCAGCAGGGGCGTGCTGAAGGTCGCCAGGGATAGGACCTCCGCGTGCATCCACGTCGCCATCACTGGTCGGGCCATCCCTGGCTGCTCGCCCTGCAAGTGCGGCGCGGGGCTCGCCCACCGGCTCGAATGCCCCTCCGAAGGGAGCCCCGAAGGGGCTCCTATTGTTGACGTATATTGGCGAAGCCATGTCGACCCATTCGAGTGCAATGTTGACAGGTATCGCTTCGGGCCAGGTCGTGTAGCCCAATGCGAGCGAGCTCTGTGTCAGTGTATCAATACTTCGGCCAGAAACAGACCCTGCAGTATGCAAGATAGGGAATTACCTCGGTGCGTTCACCAGCCTGCACCCATCCCGTTTCTGCGTCCCCATCCGACTCGCTGCCTTCGTCGAGGTCCGGCATGTCGTCCCACGCGTCATCATACAGATCGCTCACGTCCACAAGGTCCGGCATGTCGTCAGGGGGCTGAACTCCATCCATCGCGCCGTTCGTCGTGTCGAGAGTGTTGCCGTGGCCGGTAAAGTCGATCGCCATTGCAGCGTATGTCGCGGAATGCCGGAGTATTCAATATTGAAAGAAAAGCAAGAGAGTGCTTGCCGCTCGATCACAATGAAGAAGGTGGAAGGAATAAAGTAGAGTGGTGTGGAGCGGCCTGTATCGCCAATACTGTTCGTGCTCGCGTGGCTTTGGCGTGGTGGCATCCAAGGCCGCTTGTGGCGAAGTTCGGCGCTTGGGAAATAAAACTTATGCTAATGTAAAACTTACGCCCCAATCGTGGGACCATGGTCACTGAAGGTTTTTTTCACTCCAGGCGGATAGTGTGGAGCGGGCTGCAATCGGTGATACTTGGGCGAGTGGCCGCCAGGGGCATGCGAGCGGGACAAATCATTCAGAAGTCAGGTATCTTCCGTGCGCCCTCGGATCTGCGCGGCGTATGGGGATGGCCGTCACATCACCGGCGTACGCGTGGCGGGCGACCGCTACGACTACACCGTCAACCCGCATCATCATCTGGGGGTCGCCCGGCATCGGTATACGAGCCGAACTTGCGGAGCCAGTCGAACGCCCACCTTTCGCTCCAAAAATCAAGTTGAAAGTTCGAGCGTGCGATGATGAAGACAGGTTGTAGTTGTAGTACGCACCAGCTACAGCAACCCTTGCGCCAGGGGCCTGATGAACTATAGTGGGCTAAATGGAAGACCGTGTTGTGACTGCGCGGGTGTATAAGTAAGGACCACACCCGGATAAACCACCATCAGTCGCCACCACGCAGCGTGTGTAATAGTGTGGTGCTAACGGACTATTGGGAACGCGCCTGAAGGGTGCAAGGACTGTACAGCAGACAGATTCCATAGGACCTGTCTGGGACGAGACCAGTGAGCCGCGGTGATGGATGGCACTGCCACCCCGCCACGCTTGCGCCATGCGGCAGAAATATCCTCGACATGGACACGGGTTTCCTGTTGGTTCTGCCACCACTGCAAAATCTGCTCTGTGACTACATACACCCCGGCTTCAAAACTTGCGCGACCGGTCCATGGAGCGGCGACGAATGACTGCGGCGGAAGTCGCAGAAGCACGGGTGCAGATGGGTGTGGACGAGGTGCCCAATTTGCCGGTTATTTCAGGAGGACAGGACGACATGGATGAGGAAGAGGAGAGCGATCCGGAGCAGGGCGATCCGGAAGCCGAAGAGGCACAAGTAAGTCACGAATCTCTCTACGTATGTAGTGTCACTAACAGGCGGTGGATCGCGCTCAGATCCACGGAGGCGCGGCCGGCGCCAGCGGCGCCAGCGACGACCCCGACGGGGAGGAGGAAACTGAACAGGAATTGACCCCGGAACTCAAGGCTGCGCGCGCACAAGCGGCCCTACCTGAGCGCATTGTCCTCGCTGCTTTGCGGCCCGCGATGAACGACCCGAAGGCGCCCCAGCTAAAGCGCGACGTCAAGATCGAGAAAGAGCTCCAGGAGCTGTACCTCGGCACTGGGTATATCAACCTGCTCGCCCCGGAACCAGAGAAGAACTGGGGCTCCTACAACAACCGGGCGATCAAAGACGCCCACGTCAACAACCTAACGAAGAGCTTTGATGCCTCTGGGATCGCGTTCTGGGAGAACCCGATCGCCATTGTCGTGGAGCCCCCCTGGGTAAAGCCGGAATCCCTCTCGCCGAGGGAGACCCACTACAACGACGTCAAGGCCGTGGTGTGGACGGAGGCCGGAGAACAGGCGACCGTCGAAATCCTCGGGGGCCATCACCGGAAAGAGGCTCTGGAGGCATTCCGGAAGATGCTCAACAAGCAAATCCGCGCTCTGGACGCGCGGATTAAGCCCAATGTTCTGACCGACCCGCAGTCCAACACAAGGTCGATCGCGAAGATGGAGAAACTCATTAAGGAACGGGACGACCTGGTCGCACGGAAGGGGACCGCCGGGTTCTGGAGGGTGAACCTCTACATGCGCAGTACGTCTCTCCCCTTAGATCTACGGTATAATGCTCACAGTCGCTATCCATCGTGTGGGATCCGACTGACAGAAGGGTTCAGACCGGCACACGGTATGCTGATGTCGCGGAATGACAACCGCCCCGTCCTTCAGGGCACGTACATGGAGGGCGTGATCGGGTGCGCCGAGCAGATCCTCGATCGGCTCAATACCATCGAGGGCGACAAGCCGATGCCGGGCATGTCCTCTTGGAACGACCAAGTCCTGAACGTGGAGTTCGAGAAGCCGTACCGAAAGAACAACCCCGAGCTGTTCAAGATGCTTGCGAACGAATACGGATGGGGTCTGATGCAGGAGGTCCTTGCTTTCCACTACCTGCGCGACGGGAATGCCATCACGAAGGCCCATATCAAGGCGCTGGCGGGCGCAAAGCCTCGGATGGCCTCTTGCCAGGTGAGAACTCCCATCACTGAAGCTGGGCGTGCTTGTGGCGGTCGCCCGCCACCAGCACACCGAGTTGCGCTGTGCACATGATTCTCCCACTGAAGCTTGGCGTGCTCGTGGCGGTCGCCCGCCACGAGCTCACCGCGTGCGCGCGGCCAGGACATGGTGGCTAATCGAACAATCCCAGATGTGGGCTCAGCTTCTGTTGTCCAAGCTCACCGACATGACCTTCGTCTCCTCGCCACACGCAGAATGGCCAGAAAGGTGGAACGAAACCTGCTCGGAGGAGACCCCGCTCGCAATGAGGCATCCGTATGAGAAGTGGATCGGCCGTTACACCGCCTGGCATGATATGCGGTATGCGACGTTCCACGGCCGTTCAACGGAGGCCGAGGAAATAAGCCAGAAACACGACTTCAAGAGCCGCGCCAAAGTCGGCGAGGTCTTGCACGACTTCTGGTGGCTATTCGTGCAGTCGTCCCTAAACGCTGACCGCAATCTTGTCTGGCCGGATGCGCTGATGAAGGAGATCGACATAACGTATCGGCTCCACTTCGGTGATCGCTGGGACCTCCGCAAGGAGACGAAAGCGGACGCCAACGGAGCAGAGAGCACTTGGTGGCGCGAAACGGTCCGCGTGTACTACGCGGCGGTCACGAAGCTTGTTGTCAGGGTCTGGCGTGAGATGCGGGCGTCTGTGCCACGATCGCAGGACGAGGTTAGGTACAAGACCCTTCTCTGTGCGGAGAAGAAATGGGCGTGGATGCGGGAATTGGCCCAGCATAACCCTTACTGCGACTTCCCCCTCCCGACTCATGGTTTCATCAACGACGCATTCACGAAGTTTGCCGAGTACACGGATGCAATCGGATGGGTACGTGCATTCTTCCGAATCCTGTCGTAAAATCAGCGACGACGGTATCCTGTTCGTCGGTGAGTCGCTGGCGACGGCCAGTGCTCCGGCGAGCGACTCGGCGTAGCTGTAGCGGCCACCCGCCAGGACGACGCCGGTTATAACGGACGAAGAGCTGACCGCGATTCCCTCCACAGTTCGCCCGGACGCTGGACCCGTTGTGTGACGTCCGCGCCGCCAGCGACGAGTCCGCCGCATACGACCTGTCGTCTTGCGTGTTGGAGCTTTTTCGGGACGACAAGGTGTGCATTGGCATGCACGAGGCGTTCCATGATGTAAGTACCCCACTCCTTCACACAGTGTTTTCAACATATCTCATCCGGCACCCGTTTACAGATCGGGTACTTCGTCATGTACGCCTTGCCTAACCTGGACGACTTGCAAGGC